TTTCAGCATTTCTGAAAAATCCGTATAAAAGACTTAAGAAAAATTTTTTAAGTAGAATTATACAAAAATTCTAAAATTTATATTTATAAACATTATAAAAAATTATATGAAAAATTCTACAAAAAATTATCTTCAGAGGAAAGAAGTTTCATAAAAAAATAAACTCATGAAATAATTACCACAAGAAACAATATATGTATATAACTATTAAAAATCTTTCTGAAAATAACTACAATGTTCCACAGAGTGAAGAAATACGCCGATGTACTGCGGCACTATTCTACACAGTTATTTGTCGACCTACATAACGTTACTAGACACATTCACATGATAATGCAGCTGAATACATTTAAAAACATTATACATCAACGTCATAAATAAGTGTGCACTAGTTATAGTAAATACGTTATGTAATATATTATAAATATGTGGTTCGTCGAACAAATTGCGTATCAAAGGTTGAGAATAAAATTTTTAGATATTTTGCAATAAAAATATATACAAAATTTTGTATGCAAAATTTTGTACTGCAAAATAAAACTTGCATTTTTAGATAAAGATATGTACAAAATTTTGTGCTTCAAGACATGTAACATATCTAAAAATATAAGTTTTTTATTCTTAACTTTTGATGCAGATATAATAACAATATTATGATTTTGCACGACTTATATCTCGCTTTATGTACACTAAAAATTATTTTATTTTTCATAATTTTACTTCCTGTCATGCTTATATTGATAACATCACAAATTTAATAATTTCCTTCTTGCGCAATATTTTGTTCTTCCACTTATGTTATCATTTTTCAATGTCTTTGCAATTAAAATGCTTCATCTGATAAGGCACACAAACTAATTCGTTGTACAGATTTCATACAAGCAAATTAATAGGACAATTTATTGAATTGTACGATGTAATTGTGATCTAATGTAAGAATTTACCATAAATTGTTGTCGTGTCGAAGAGTTTCTTTTTCTTCTCGAAAAGTCTGCCCCAAAGGATGGTGAGAATAATTCTCATAAAATAATTTACGTCAAATAGAATGTAGAGGATGGCGATCATCGCCACGCAACAAGAACACAACATTGTCAGTTTTCTATCGGCGTATTTCTCGCTATCTCAACGACTGCACGAAAATAACCTCGACTCGATGCACGCTTTCTCACGGTCGACGGAAGACTGGCCACTGACACTGACTTGTCCGCGGTCTGTGAAAAACCGGTTTCACAAGCATTAAAGAAAGACGCTTTAACTCTGTTACGCTGATCAAAAAATTAGTCGAAATTAAAATTGCAAATTGAAAATTTGTAATAGATACACAGATTTTGTTATAATAGAATCTCACGCAATAAATTTCACGTTTATTGTGTTGGAAGAAAAATTATATTAATCACTTTGTATAGATAAATCACTTTGTATGGATAATTTGTATATTAATTTGTTTTTCCTTTGTTTATTTGAAATTTTTAATACATCTTTTAACGTACGTAAAGAGAGTTAATTCTGACAAACGAGAAAATCTTTTATATATTTTTCCTCTTACAAATTTTAATACCGCATTTTACTGATTAATCTCCGTAAATCTCAAATAAATCAAAATCGAATTGAGAAATTAAAAGTGAAATTTAACAATCCTTTATTTTTTATTAAAGTTCTGTTAATTTTTATCATAATTATATAAACATAAAGTACGACAGAAAAATAACAGCTAAATAAAAATAAAATGGACTACCATTAGTGTTAATAAATCAGTGAACTTAGTTAATCAGCGAATTATTTATGCTTACATATGCGCATATCCTGTCAATTACAAAACATGGTCTGCTGTCGCTATATAAGCAAAAAGCAAAATAAAATATTATGGCTTCTTCAGAAAAATGAAGTTATTACAAAATGACGTGTTCATATAGTTTAATAGATAGATATATTTCTTCCAATGTGTGAAGGCACCTAATATACTAGTTAAATACACAGGCATCCATTGTTACAATAAATATAAATATTTAGTATGTTGCATTTAATGTTAATATTTGTTATTTCCCTGCCGTATACACAATCAACGTGGTTATGTAGAAAAAAATTTTAATGCGTTAAACATGTAACAATATATTTAATTAGCTATAATTGCTAATAGCATGTTAAAAGAGAGTATTCTATATTTTTATATACATGGTATATATATGGTAACATTTATTTCAGTGATAAATTAATGCATATAAAAAAATCCAGAGACGCGTTATTTACCATTCCTGGAAAAATATACCTTGCTTCTAATTTTGAGGTATTCTTCTCTTATCATGTAATGTAAAAATATTAAATATGTATAGTTACACAATTTTCTTAATGTGCACTATATGCCATTTCAATTAATATTTCGGCACTTTAACATAATACATTAATTTTTTACTCAGAAAAAATAAATAATCCCAGCTATGAACGTTAAATATTCCATGAAAGAGTCGTAAAACACTCCTAAAATTCCAAAAAGAACATTCCAAGAGCATACCGAAATATTCCGAAATATTTACGGAATTTAAAAACAATATTTAAATATCAATTAAAAATTTCATTTATATATACAACCGATCGGATTGGTTCTATTCATGGATCCACAAATTAGAAGTTGCTTGATGAATAGGCTGTATTCCGAAACCCATAAAAAAAAAGTGCAACCTTTCTGTGACCTGCTGTACATATATCATTATTCCAGAAATTCCGGTCGTTCCAAATTTACCTTTTAAACAAAATTTTATTATGAAGAACGTGTTTCATGTGCTTTTACCTTGAAGACCAATTTTGGGAATTACTTTACAAGCGACATACTGCGTTCTTTATATTCTTTCCCAAAATAATTCGTATTTACGAGTAAATGCTCTCTGTTGCAGTCCTCTGTCGGCGAAGTATTCCTTATAGAGCTGCATTCATACAATATTCTAAACGTTTCATCAACATTTACATATTCCGTGACGACTCTTTTACTGTTCTGGAATATTCGGCACATTGGAAATATGAATCGAACTTTCTACGAATATTTAGCGTTAGTTGGGAAATATTATACAGACTTATTCGAAAATATCAGACATCATAACCAACCATTATTTAAAGTTAGAGCTTAATTGTTTTTAATTAATTTTAATTAATTTTTATGGCAGTTATAAATTATCCTTTGTTTTAGACATCCTTTAAAATTATATATTAATATAATATCAGTAATCAATAAATATAACAATGTTAGATAGAAGAAATCCAGATAAAAAAATGTAGGTGCCTAATATTTTTTTATCAAAGCTGTATAATGATAAAATACGAAAGTAACAAAAAATTATTACATTTTTCTTTAAAAAAATTTTTTTTAGAATTTACTTATAATCATTTTCTTTTTCTAAGAATTTAATTAATCTATGTTTCAATAGAAAAAGGAAGAAAAACAATCGCTTACTGTAATTATATTAATTATTCTTATCCTCAATTACAGAATACCAAGCTTATAGTATTATTAATTATTTATTTTGTCATAAGGCCGCGCTAAGTTTCCACTTCTCAAAGACAATTAAACACACAAGTAGCGAGAATGTTTAATTGATCTTGTTACGGAATTTCCTCGAGAACATCCATCATCGGGTAATTAAGAACAAAGATTGCATTCCGCATATTCCGCTTGTTACACAGTCGTGGTTGTATATATCGGTGCTAAAACGCCGCAGGATGTCGCGGCGTCCGTTTGTCAGCAACGCGTCGTTATCGTTATTGGTTCCTGTCTCAACATCGCTGATGATATTTCGTTACTTTCCATCCACCTGCTCACTTCGGGTGGCATCTCTAGTCGCACAGGAGATACCTAATGACACATTATACCATTTAACTTAGAGAGACAAGAAGAAATAATCTTTCAATGCGATTTATTATATTAATTATTCTTATTCTCAATTACGAAATATCAGGTTTCTAGAGTATTATTAATCATTTATTTTATTATAAAGGCATGCTAAATTTCCGATTTTTAAAGACAATTAAATACGCAAGTAGCTTATAACACACAGTAAGTTTGTTAAAAAATGATAACAAATTATTTTTGAATTATTTGCGTAATTTTTAAAAATTTAAATTTATCCAAAGTTTCTTGATATAGATGTTAATATATTGAAATAAATCTCTCTGCAGTTAATTATAGAATTCTTGCTTTGGAGGCATTCCATGGCAAATCAGGCACCTTCAAAACCTTTATTTATGTATAGAATATATCAACAAATTAAAAATGATGTTTCAAAGATTGACATAAAAATGAAGTTTGACATAAAATGTCTCTTTGTTATTAATATTATATAAATTATTGAATTAAATACCATCTATCATTGAATTAAATATCCATTCTATCAACCTATGAGTGACTTAATCTCAATAACTGAGGAATTTAATTATGTAATTCGTATTGATATGCTAAAGATAATTCCAAAATAAATCAAAATGTTTAATCTTCAATCAAGTTTTTGAAAAAAGACATTTTCGATTTTGTAATGTTATAAAAAAATAAGTTGTAACATCATAACTTATGCTCTTATAACCGCGCTATACTCTAGCTCTATATTCATTTTAACTTATTAAAAAGTATCAATAAAGTCTGTAGCACAGCTTTTTCATTAATAAAATATATGTCAAGACATCACTTTTAATGTCTTCTTTACCTTCTTTCAACTTTTATATTGCAAAATGAGTTTGAAGTTCCTTTTTCCTTTCCTCTCAAAATTATACACATGAGAAACCCAATTTTTATTCTGTCAAAATATAGACTATAAGAGCTGTTTTCAAAATTTTTGCGCGTGCGATCTACTTTAGGATTTTATGATGAAATGGTCACATATACGTATAATAAAATTCATTTGGTGAATTTATAAAAAGTATATAGGAAAAATTCGCCATATCTTCTTAATTTTCAAAAAACAAATCTTTTTAACTACAAAAAAATAACGTGTGTTACTTTTTGAATATAAGACATGAAGAACAGAGTCATCATAGAAGTACAAAGTAAGTCTTTTCAATATTACCAAAACCTTATTAACCAATGTAAGTCTTTATTTCATATCATTATCAACATATATGTTTTCTATTGTAATAAACAGCAATCGTTTAAAATTCTTGTAGCGTCCTCCAAACATATAATCGCAATTAATTCTTACCTGCATTACACCTGCTTCGACATTTCCATTCTGCTTCACCCTACGATTTAGTAGGGCGCCAATAACAGTATCGGCGCTACAATTAAGAAGTCTTTGCCTGCAAATCGCAATTGCCCTTATAAAACCATCGCTCGGCGTGATAAATCGATGCTCCATAAAAAAACTCCTCTCATCCCAATAAACGATCTAAGAAAAAAAAAATAAAATTACATTATTTAAGATTGCGTATTGATAGGTCTGTTCTTTTTAACTAACTTCTTACGTAATTTACTTTTTCTTTTTTTTTCTTTACTGTAGAAAGAAACAAGAGGAAGGTCAAATCATATAAAAAATTCAAATAAAAAGAACAGATAACACATCAAAAATGAAATAAAAGACGTCTTAAAGATACGCAAAAGTCTCAGGATATTAAAAAGAAAAATAGATATCTTTAAGACATTTTATGTCGCGATTTTGTTGTTTGGATACAAGCTAAAACAACTTTTTTCACACAAGGCTAATATAATTCATCGAATTCACCAATTTTTTAACTCCGCATTACAAAGTCTCCATTTCATAAGAAGATACTGTTTTTGTGCACTAGAGTATTAAACTATTAGTTAATTTCGTATTTTTTCACACGCAGCGATACATAATACGATTTCAGAGTACTTTCACAGTAGCAACAGGAGTATCATATACGAGGGTTTTAAGATCCCCTTAAATAAACATCCAAAGGATTCAAATCTTCAAAGAATTCAAAAATATGAAATACTCTGAGAATTTTTGAACGTCTTCGATCCATGCGACGTCGATGCAAAGCATGCATCGATGCGGAAGAAAATCATTTCCAGCAATTTCTATAATGAAAATCTAGATGTAAGTATAAAATAAAATATAGATATAAGTATAAAATAAAAAAATGTTCATAACTTAGAAAAGAAGCGTTTCCGAACCCATATTTATATGACTTGTTTTCATCCTTACAATGAGTGGAATACTCTTAAAGTTTGGCCAACTATTTCTGAAACACCCTGTGTGTATATATATATATATATATATATATATATATATATATATATATATATATATATGTATATGTATATATGTATAA